TCAAAATGACTTTTAAGCATTCTTTTTTTTGTAGGTAGAAAATTAGGTTCCTATATTATGGCTTGTTTTGTTTAGTCACAATACTCAAAACTCTCAATCTGTTGATTGATTTTAATGTTTCTAAGTGAAATGATTCTCTAAATGTCTTATTTTTCAACTGCGAGAATCAGATGAGGGCAGAAATATTGTTTGCTCAAACCGTGTGTTGTGGCCATGGTAACTGAGCGAGCATCATGAGACTCCAGGAGACCAGATCTCTGCGTTTGGGTAACCATGGATGTCCACGGCAGTCACCAGCCTGAGTTACTGAGGAACAAGATGCCGCCTTGAGAGGAATGTCCTTCCTTTCATCTGGAGCGGGTTCATGAGAGTCAGCCTCGAAGTGCTGCTCCAGTTCTGCCTGGGTGGTTACATGGCCAGCTTTTTAATGAACGTTTGCTTGGCTGAATGTTTTTGAACAAGTATCAACACTAAAATAGCCTCCGGGGAGACAGATTTTTATAGAGCTACCCAGCCCAGGAGAATTCTGGGAACGTGGGAGCTACTTACTGCCAAACAGATCCAGAGTTGCTTGGAATGAGTTCCCAGTGAATTTGTGGCTTATGAGCTCTCATGAGAGAACAGGGAGTGAAGAGTTCCCATTTTGAATTTATTCAGTCTCTCACTCCATTATTGGCTAGTTAGTACCTTGGGAAATATTAGGTACCATAAATTCTGCTAATAAAACTATGTGTACCAGTCAGTATGGGCCATGGTATGCTGCGGTAACAAGCCACCTGCAAACTTCAGTGGCTTACTGAGGTTTATTTTTTGTTCATGCTACATGTCCAATGCTGGTTCATTGTAGCCACTCACGGACCCAGGCTGACAAAGGATCCACCATCTGAGGACATCATCATCCAAACATGAGGCTCTAGGGTTTGCCGCAAGGAGAGTTTGGGAGAATCATGCATCACTTTTAAATGCTTCCAGCCGGATGTGACACACATTGCTGCTCACATTTCATTGGCCAAAAAAGTCACATGGTCACACTTAACATCACTGAAACGGGGAAGTGTGGTTTCTCCATGTGCCCAGGAGAGGAAAACTGGGAATACTGGTGAACACCAGTAGCTCTCCTGGGAGAATCAAAGCTGCACTTCTTAGAAGTGTCACAAGGAATAGAGACTCGATGGGGAGATACAGTGAACAAGGTGCTAGCCTGCAGCCAGGCTCCCGGACATAGTGTTTGCTCTAACCAATAGGAATGAACTGGTTCTTTCAAGAATGGGGACAGAAAATGTAGAGACAAAGGTTCATATTTTTCCTTTAAAAAAATGTTTTCCATACAAATACTCGACTTATAATAGTCATCTCCCCAGAAGCTTGATCTCTGGCTGTTTCCAAGAGGTTCCTCCATGGTGGTTTCATCAAGATGGTCAACAGCCGTCACGCCGACCTGTCTCTTTGTCAGGCCACCAGTGCTGCTGTCTAGAGGACAGAGTCTGCTGGGCACAGCCGTCCTTGGCTGCTGGTTCTCTCTGCCATCCGAAGTCCAACCTCAAGGGAGGGGGCCCTACTCTCCCCTTTGATCCTCAGGCCCAAAGATGATTAGGCCCTCCCTCTTAATCCTTCTCACCTGGAAGAGAACACCAGGCTAGGAAGTGAACGAGATTTTTCCAAAGGGTTGGTTAAAATGGAAGAGAAGTAAGTAGGCCATCCAACTACTGCGGGGACGTGGCTGTTGGCAGAAGCCCTAGGCTCCAGCCCCCTCAGGGCTCCCGGCGGCTGGCTTGCCTTCCTTCCCCACCCACATGCACTGGGAATGCCAAGGCCTCGCTGTGTTTCTGAGACTAAACTCCCAGGGAGGACTTTTCTCTCGTCCCACAGTCTAAGGCTCACCTCCCCAGTCCCGCATGGGAAATCACTCTCCGGACAGTGGCCAGCCTTGCCCTCAGCAGTGCTCTCCACAGGATGTCACACGTGGTCCCACCATGTGGGCCATCAGAGCCGAAGGGGGCAGTCAAATCCAGGTCGTCAGGCCACCTGCCTGCCAGCCTTCCAGTCTCTTCTTTGTCCCAGCTCCACATTGCCTAAAAACTGCTGCTGAGAGCTCCAAAAGAACAAACAATAATTCTGGGGACACCAGTTAGCCTAAAGTTATAAAGAGTAAAGTAACATTTCTCTCCCAATATTTCTGGGAGACTGGGAGACACTGCTCCGATAAAAGACACAGCAAGCCCCCTCTTTTTTAAGTGCTGCAATGCATGACCAATGTTTTTACCTGGAAAGATACTCCCTTTTCCTATTATCAAACAGGACTCTTCACTTCCCCCTCTGACACTGTGTCCGGGTTTCCCCCAAGAGTGAAGGGAGGGCCCTGCTTGTCTATTTGTACTGCACCTGATAGCTTCACAGAACAAAGGACTATCTTTCCTGGAGGCCCACCCGTTTCCACCCCGGGGGGCAGAAACTGCTTGTGACATGAAATGTTTTCCAGGTTTTGCCCCATTCGCCCTGTTGGCCAGGGAGTGCACCTGCATCTAATGGCTCTCGTGGGTGATGGGTGTGGGGCTGGCACGGCCTTGCCCTCAGTGTCATCAGGAAAGGACAAAGGGGACAGTAGTCATACCAGAGGGGACAGGAGTCATACCAGGGGAGGTGGAATTTTTGTGTTTCAAGCAGTAGTAACAGCTGAATCCCTACTTCCCACCCCCTTACACACACACAGACACACACACACACACACACACACACACACACACACACACACA